ATGTTGTGTCGTCATCGCCCTGATCAGTAGGTGTGATTGCAGCTGCAGCACCATCGTTGGAATTAGGTGTGGCCTCGTTGTGTGTTGTGTCAATATTGGACCTCTCTTGATTAGAAGTATCAGCAATGGAAGACCTGGGTTGCTCTTTCTGTAAGCTTTTCCTGCAAGATGTAGTTGGGGGATCTAGACAGAAACCCTTTGGCCGTGCGTCTGCATTACTGGCATTTTCAGTTTTGGAGACTACGTACCTCGCATCAGTTGACTTCATGTCAGTTTCATTGTTATTGAGAGGAACATCTGATGCCTCTGAATGATCCAGGGTGCAAATATTCATCAACCTACTAGCTTCTTTAAAAAAAGAGCTGCAGCCCAGGTCCTCTGACTTCTCTAGATTTGAATTGTCGGCAATCAAAGTCTTGGGTGTGATTAGAGGATCTTGACAGAAAACATTCGGCTGTGTGTCTGCATTACTGGAGCTTTCAGTTTCTGAGACTTCTTCAATCGCGCCAGTTGACTTCATGAAATTATTGACAGGAACATCTGATGCATCAGAATGGTGGGTGCAGATGCTCATCATCGAAACAGTTTCTGGTAAATAAGAGCTGCAGCCCAGGTCCTCTTTCAGGTGACCCATTGTTACAAAGCTGTGAGTCAGGGCTTGCTCGGGCGTGATTCGCGAGTTACCATCCAAGTCAAGTAACTGTTTAAGCAGTTGTAAAAATGCCATCCTGTCCTCATACTCAACTTTGTCATTTTTCTTTGAGTGCTTTTCGACTGCTGCATCCAAACTTTTGAGCTTGTCAAAAGGTCTCTTTATAATTGTGCTCGAGACACCGCTTGACTTCTTGTACTCCTGTGGCGTCTTCAGTCTCCATCTTGTATGGTTGAATTTGTTTACCATTTTGAAACACTCGGAGCTCTTCTTCCCAGCATTTAGCAGGTGGTCTCCTGGCTGACCGATCAGACGGCAAATGGCTTTCATCACTTGGTATGACGTTCTTCCACAGAAGAGCCTGTTACCAAGATACATTTCTCCTAAAACACATCCCAGTGACCACATGTCGATGGCCTCAGAAATGGGGAGGCCCAAGTAAACCTCTGGAGATCGGTACGGACCAGCTTGCATTCTAGTTCCTACTTTTGCTTCGGAAGCTGGGATGGACAAGCCGAAGTCGATTAATTTAATCCTTAAAGGCTGAATCCGTTGGTCCACAAGCATGATGTTGTCTAATTTAAGGTCTGAATGAATGATGCCAATGCTCTTCAGGGCCTCAAATGCAACAAGTAGCTGCTGTGAGATGGGGCGGATCTCATTAAGCGATAATGGCTTGTCTCTCTGTGCAATAAAGTCGAAAATGTTCCTGTCCAGCTTTTCAAATGCGAGGCAAGGAAAGTCTCCGCAGATGAATTTTTCAATAAATCTTACCAAGTTGTTCTTCTCTGGGTCAAGTTTCCTGACCTTTTCTAACATTCTAACTTCAGTAACATAATGTTTTATGTCTTTGTGAATCTTAATGGCTATAGTCTTGGATGATTTTATGTTGCGACATTTTGCAACTCTGCCAAAACTACCTTCTCCAATAAAATCCAAAATTAGGTAGTTTGCAGAACTGCTGGACAGTATGTCATTCTTTTTCACCTGGATTCGTTGACTCATTGTTGCTGTAAAATGTTGCAAATGCTCTCTGAGTTGAGTCAAAGTGGATTCCTAAATCTTCTGAATGTTAATCACATTTGCAAGATTTTTGAAAATGGAATGTGACATCACGATTACATCATTCTGTTCAAAAGATGAGAGCAAGCAGCATTCTAAATGTATTTAAATGACAACATCATGATGGCGTCATAATGATGACATCACCATGAGAACAAAGAACATGTTTTACTTATTTTTTAGATGTTGCAATCATAACTCTGTTTTTTTCAATGTAAACTTAAAATAAAGGTTATTCACTTCCAAATCCTCAGCTTGATCAAATCACTTTTGGTTTCCGTCATGTTTACTTTGCAGAATAAGTGTAAAGGCTTCTTCTCTTCTGTATCCGAGCCATGATTCATTTAAAAATTAAATAAACACTGTCACAAAATCTGCTTTTTGTCTTTGCACAAAGGGGCTGTTTTTCTTTAAACTGTGTATATGGAAACAGAAGTTAGCACATAAATGACAGATTTTAATGTTGTTTATTTTTAACAAAACCAAATAAACTTTTTTTAATTTATTTTTTACTAAATGTTAAGATTTCTGAATTAATTAGTAATAAAATAAAATAAATATATTTGAATCATCCAGAAAGCTTGATGAAAGTGAATGTAGGTGTCTTTAAGGAATTCAAAAAAATGTTTTATAAAATGAATGTGTCAATCTGTTATTATGCTATTTTGTGCGAGATCAGTCGATTTAACCATGAGAAAAAGGATTACAGAGGTTATGAGTTCAATAATTAGTATTGCCCTCGAAGGATGTTGCAACAATTGAAATGGCCCTTGATAGGAAAGACTCCAGCCCAAGTTGTGTATGAGCAACTTTGCATTTTCAACACATGTAATCTTGTGGGAGACGACAGTGAAGTATTCACAGTTTTTGTTTTGGGTCAAAGCAAGAGCAGTAATGTACAGTATGTGTACAGTATGTAACAAAACTCAAATTAATTCATGAAAATACAAATAAGTTACAGGTTCACATGTACTTGTTAAGTGAATGTTTGACCATGTCCTTTTGTTGCTCTGTTTATGTTTTTAATGTTTCATGTGGAACCTACTTGAGCAGGTCTCCCTTGAAAAAGAGATCAATGATCTCAATGGGATACAACCTGGATAAATAAAGGTTTGAAATGAAATGAAATGAAATGTAGGAATATAGTGTGTGTGTGTGTGTGTGTGTGTGTGTGTGTGTGTGTGTGTGTGTGTGTGTGTGTGTGTGTGTGTGTGTGTGTGTGTGTGTGTGTGTGTGTGTGTGTGTGTGTGTGTGTGTGTGTGTGTGTGTGTGTGTGTGTGTGTGTGTGTGTGTTTGTTTCACAATTCGAACTATTTAAATGAATTGTGGTGTTGAGTATTGGAACAGATAACCTTATAATACCAAATATAAGGTTATACCAAATAACCACAAGCAGTCTTTAGGCTTTTTTGTGCAATGTACTCTCTGTTTATCCACACTTGTGTCCTCTTTTGCAACAACTTTCTCAATACATACATTTTAGAGAAGTCCAGTCCACTCTGTATCATCATGATTGCTTTGCAACAAGAACATTTACAAAACCAGAAAGACTGAACATGTTATTATCAGCGGGAACAGTAAAGTACAAAGATTTCACTTTTCTATTGAGTCCATTAGGAAGGGTCTATGGGCTGCTGTATTTCCTTCAATGCGCTTGTCAAACCAATACTTGAACTTCCAATTTTCAGTGAATCTGACTAATGACTATTTGTTTTGTGAGAGAAACATTTAGTATATACACATCAAATATTTGAGGATTTAAAAAGCAGTAGATTTTACGAATTGTGATCAATCTTCTTGGAGTTGTTGAAAAATGTACAGTCAAAAGTTTTTAACATTACTTATGGTCGTGTTAAGTGTTTCAAACCAGGAAGTAATCACAGGTTCCTGCAAGGCAACTTCACCTATCTTTCTAAGTATTTTGTTGTTATTCTTATCTGCTTTTGACTATTTCCAAATGTGCAAATTACCTCCGAAAACTGGTGGAAGAGAGACAATTTAACTCTAAGGGGCAAACATTGTATTAAACTTTATAGATGATATGATTCTGCAAATTAAGTACCACAACTGTTTTCCCTTTAATTACATTTTCAGTGCTTGACAGAGGTTTGTAATACAAATTAAAGTTCAAATACAACTTAACTTAGGACATCTGGCATTATGGTATGATATCGATTTAAAGGCATTTTAGAAATGATAGCTGTATCACTAAAACACTTAAAATAAAACATATTGAAAGAGTGCCAGTTTATGGATACAGGAAACATGTTACACATTTATGATTGGAAATCAAAATTATAGCAATACTTCAAAATCATTAGTGATCGAATTTCAAATCTTCAGGATGAAAGCAATCAGATGATGTGTCTGAGAGAAAAAGAGCAGTTTATGGAAAGTTATTTTTCCCAAACTCAGCCCTGCAGTTCTACATAACCCTGTCCTCAATATACTGTACGCTGCTCTTAAACATACTGCAGGAAATGTGAACAGCAGCGAAGGTTTAAAACAATGTGTGTCAGCAAGTCAACACCAGCTGGAGTCTGCTCTCTCTTAAAGGGAAAATCCTTTTTAAATACAACTCACATGTGCTCCCTCAGAGTAATGATGTGAACATTGACAAGTCACTCTCGACACGTGGAAACAGCCCTTTGTGCTTCAAATTATTAAACAAATCCAATTATCAATTTCATTTTTGCTAGTACAATATCATTTCTTATGATGTAAAAAGATAGTATTTTCACCTTTGCTTTATGTAACACTAGAAATGTGTCCAGGTGGTTTCTGCTCAGCGGGTTGAATAAAGTGTGTGAATTGTTTAAACAAGGGTTTTCCTTTGAAGTAGCAGGGACAGTGTAAATAAGCACTTTACAACAGCAGCCAGGCACACAAGTTACTGATTACTGCAACTCTACAACAAGTGATCATCGACACTGATAGGTTGAAACAGTCAAGCTTCAAAACCTTTCCTTCGATTAGCAGAACCACATTAACAGTTTAAGCTTTTAGTGAAATATGTGATGAGTCCGCCCCCTTACATTATCCTGTTAGGCCACGCTGTTGGTTAATAGTTACTGTAAGATTCACTTTAAGCCGACTGAGTGGGAATTGGACATGAAATTAGCTTGTTGAAGTGGTTGTTGCCCGCCCACAATCAATCATCCTGGTATGAAATTTCACCAGCAAGCTTAAATATCTGAAAACGGGATCTATGAGGGAGGTCTCATTTCCTGCCAAAGTGGCTGTTAGATGCCAATCCAAAACCAAATATGTCCGAAAACACTCCAGATTGTGGCACATGTTGTTTAATCCTAGTCACATCAGGTATACAAGGCATTACAACGCATATGGATTTCAAGATATGAATCTGATTTGACAACATTGACAGTGAAATCAATAGAAAGTGTGTTCTGATTACAATTCACTCAAGATGTTCTTTTAGTTTCCTGTAATGATGTCATATTAGTTACGCTTTTAAAGCCGTTCCCAGGGCTTCTTACAGCACAGAATAACAAAGAAGGACCACCGAGCCAAAACCAAACAATCCTGCAGCTGCACAACAGGACTTTATCAGCTACACTAGCTTCACGTCTCATAAAAACACAGGTGCCTTTGTATGGGACTTCAGAGGCACAGCTTATTTAATAAGGCAATATGTACACATGATCTGTATCTTCTCCTATGTTGTCATCTTATAAATAATGTCTAAAATAATACTGTACATTTTAATTAAATGGTGGTAATCAAGAAGAAATATAAAAGCACCTGTGAATGGGACTGACATACTACAATACTAAGTTTCTATCAGGGTGTAGGTCCATGTGTTTAAGGGTGATGGCATATCAGATTATAACATCACGTCTTTAAGATTTTTATGCCAAATCTGAGACAAAGCAACATTTAACCTGACTACCTTGTTCTAGCACTACTTGTTAAATAAAACACACTAAAGGTGGTTGGTGGTGGAGTGTTAAGGATCACAAGATGTGCGAAACACTAAGAGATCTCAAAGTTGACAAATACTTGTGGAGACACTGTGTCATAGAGTTAAATATAAAGAAGAATCAATGGGTGATGTGATTACACCTATATGACAAGTGCTATGTTCCTGAAGCCAGTTAAGAACTATTAAAGTTAGCCCTGTGGATTGGATTCAGTCTGCAGTTTTTCATATAAAAGTAAATTAAATAACCAGCTGCTTTAAGTGCTGGCATACCAATCATGTATTCTTGGATAATAATACTCCTCTTTATGCCGTTATGAAGCTGAGCAATGTTTCTTTGCTGAAAAACTGGCAAAACATAACATTTACATTCTCCTCTTAAAAAAAGGAAACAAAAACAAACATGTAAATAACATATTTTTTTCTTCCAAAAATGAATTAGCCATTAGACATACAATACAATTACACAGATACATATTTTCAATACCGCACATTCAATCTGCCAAAAAGGTAATGATTACAAAGCCAACAAAGATGCTGCGATATATATATATATAGAGATGTATGTACAATGATTATAGCGTTCATAATTGCACTATGCCTCAATAAATGTAAATTACAGGCTTACGTTCTAGGGAATTGTTACAAAAAATACTTTAAGTAGCTTGGGAATGAAATAATTGCAAATCAGAAAGAAGAAGGGCTTACTTTGGTACAAACTGATCATCAACACTGTGCCCTTTTACATAGAAATTAGCTAAATGTATTCTTCACTGCTATTGACTTACAACAGTCAGGACAGCCGGGTTGTGATTGCGCAAGTGTAATAAAGACAAAGCTAAAGCGTGACAGGATGGTGTATATGCTAGGAGAAGGGGTTTGCAGTGGGTTGTGATTGGACAGCTTGAGCAGGGCTGAGGGGGGGGGGCTGTACCATTGACTGTGTTGAATATTAATTGGAGGAATCAGTCGATCGATCAATAAGGGACAAGTCTGCGTTCATTAACACTTCCTGTTCCCGTCCTCAACACTTATCATTTCATCTAAGTAGTAAACATCACAAAGTGGAGTCTAGTTCTTGAATAGTTTTGGCATTGGCAATAAATACACAGATAACCGTAATAAAAAGCGTTAATGTGGCAAAGTTTAACATAATCATTTAACAACGTAGTCACATAAATAATCACGTCCTTGACTCCCATCTGTGTAGAACAGGCGTACCTCCTGATCTTCTTGCTCAAAGCTCAGAAGTTTTTTTTAAAGCCTGTGACTGTCAAGACTCGGGCTATTTCCCCTTTTAATGTACTCATTGGATGGTACCAAAGTCAATGCAATGTATTATAAACAATAACGATATGAGTCTATCAATACCAAATCAATATAGCATTTCTTTTTAAATCACAGTTTATGCCAACTTATTGAGAGACTTGCCAATCAGTCCTATGCAGAAAAATAAAAGCTGTCAATTATAGATCTGTTGCATCATTTCCTATTTGGTTTAACAGGTAAACGGCCGGAACGAAGCTTCTGAATGAACCAATGGGAAAGGAGGGAGAGTTAAAAAAAAAAAGGAATGAAAACTTTTTTTCTTCTTCTTGGTTATAAAAAGGCAGGAGGCAGGGAGCGCATTGCATTTGCTCCAGCTCTGATGTATCAAACTGACAGAAAAAAAAAATTGCCAAACCTTGAGTGCACAAAGTAGTTTCTTTCTTTAGGCCAAAAATCGAAACAAAAATTCACAATGCGCAAAGCCTAGAAATGAGGATCCTTGCTGCTAACATCAACAGCATATCCCCGCAAACACTTATACTTTAAATGTATTGCCCTCCTCCTGCTCCATATATTTAATCAACTCCTTAAATAGCAAAATAACATTTACTTTGCTAACCCTTGGGGACCAAGAGATCAACAAATGGCAAATAAATTATTATTATGCAACCATTACATTTCTCAGATTTTCTTTTGTGTGTGTATGATCTATGTTTTCATAGATTGCCTCAGTCAGTGTGTGGGGGGGTCTCCCCCCTCTACACCAGGTTGTACTCCTTCAGGTTGAGCTGCAGGATGGTGTCTTTGACGGCAGCAAAGACGAAGCGGATGTTCTCTGTGTCCGTGGCACAGGTGAAGTGTGAGTAGATGATTTTATCGCCGTCTGGATTCAGGTCCACAAACATCTTCAGGATAAACTCCCGTCCTGCTTGGGCATCCCTCGCGGGACCTGCAAAGGTGAAGACATGCTCCATGAATGCATTTCACTGCAGAAAGTAAGGTAAAAATTGTTCTGACAGGATATGTCTTAGGATGCTAAGACATGTGTATATTCTCCATTCTTGTGTCCTCTCTCAATTTTTACTGGCCCCGTGCATCTCCTAGTCGTTGTAACCAGCCTGCTCTCGTCTATCCCACATGCTCCACTGACATCCAACATCTAGTTACAGGTGGCCTGTGGAACTGCCAGTCAGCTGTTAATTTCTGGCTACGCTTCCCTGCAGTCTAGCAAGAACGTGATTGGTCGATATTCATTGTGGGGGTGGGGGGAGGAGGGGTGTTTGATAGATATAGAGTTGTAGTAAGTACAGATGTAGCACTCCAGATAGGACTCTTGTTTGAGCCGGTCTGCATTTCCTGATGAAAAAACAAACCGATGGTTTTGTAGTTGTAGCCAACGTGGATTAAACAACATTATTTTGTTAAATAAAAACATGGTGATGTTTTGTAAATTATTACATGTCTCTTATTTAGCACAGAATATGATCCTACCCGTGACATATGGATCTTAACAAAGATCCGCTATATCAGATACCTCTACTATAGATCTATCAGCTGTTTATTTCACATGAGTTCCAGTGTGGCAGCTTTTTAATCACTGCTCCCCCTGGTGGATCCATGATCCATTGCAGCTGGTTTCATTATAATTTAATTTATTTATCAAGGGGGCGTATCAAGTCCTGTGGGGGGGTTTCCTTTCAGCAGGGGCCCACCCCGTGCCGATCACAGGCCCACATGGGTAGGGGCGTCCAAAATGAGGTGCTACATCTGTAGATAGAGTTCGCTATGATTGAGGTTTCGTTTATGCATAGGGTAGATTCTTTTAATTACATTTCCTTTTTTGTTTTGTGTATTTTTTACATTTTGGATTTGCTTGGCGAGCTATTTTTAGAACATGCCCCGCGGGCGACTCGTACTCGAATAGTACATCTTGTCAATGGAAAAAGAAAATAGCACCAGGATAATCAATATTCAACCTGAGATTCGACTGACCAGAGAACACATAAAGGATCATGAGATCTCGGCATTGCACATAAAACAAATAGCATCATTAAAATCAACATTTGCCTTATGAAAGAAAACAAATCCCATCACAGTTCAGTTTTGTGCATTCATCTTCAAGAAGATGAGCATATCTGCTCTCTCTGGATCCAAACGGGCTCTTTCACAGCGTAGGATATCACCTGTTGAACTGAACACTCTCTCGTTTGGCACGCTGCTTCCCTGAACACAAAGGTACTTGGTTGCCATACGAGACAGCATTGGTTGGAGGTTGGATGTATTGCCACCTTTCCCAGAAATAAACTTATTGCAGTGGTTACAGACCCCACCATTCAGACTGGCAGTCATATGCAGCCATACTTTAGATTTTCTAAAGTGACTCGTTTGCGGAGTTTCACGGCGAAATTGACATCGTAATTCCGGGCGTAGTTTGGGCGCGAGTTTAAGGATATTACGCCTCACTTTTAGTTATTTCGGTAATACCGGGAACCGGTATGCACCCCTACTGCAGATACACTCTTTACAACATCAGGAGGATACGTCCCCTCCTGACCCAGAAAGCGACGCAGCTTCTGGTCCAGACTACTGCAACTCCCTCCTGTGTGGTCTACCTGCATGTGCCATCCGACCTCTGCAGCTCATCTAGAATGCAGCAGCTCGTCTGGTCTTCAACCTTCCTACATTTTCCCACACCACACCGCTCCTCCGCTCCCTTCACTGGCTTCCAGTAACTGCTATAATCCACTTCAAGACACTGGTACTTGCGTACCATGCTGTGAATGGTTCTGGCCCTTCCTACATCCAGGACATGGTTATACCATACACCCCAGCACGTGCACTCCGCTCTGCATCAGCCAAACGGCTCGCTGCACCCGCACTGCGAGGGGGACCCAAGTTCCCATCAGCAAAAACACGTCGATTTGCAATCCTGGCTCCAAAATGGTGGAATGAGCTCCCCATTGACATCAGGACAGCAGAAAGCTTACACATCTTCCGGCACAGACTGAAAACTCATCTCTTTCGACTCCACTTCGAGCAATAAAATGAAAAAACAAAACTAAAAACTAAATAAAAAGCACTTAAATACTAACAAAGCACTTATATACTAACAAAGGACTGGCTTATCTAAAGCCTGTTGAGTAGCACTTAAAATGGTTTGGCTCTACGAAACCTAATGTACTTATATGATTCTGGTTTCTTCAAGTGTTCTTGGTCGAATGCACTTATTGTAAGTTGCTTTGGATAAAAGCGTTAGCTAAATGAAATGTAATGTAATATGATTATTTTGCAGGCTGGTGCATTTCAATCTAAAGTGAAGCAAGCGTTGGAAAATTAACTTTTAGCCAGTAGTTTATTTTTTTTCATTGCAATCCAAACATCTAATTTCTACTCTGGAGATGTAGATATTTACATTTGTATTTACATGTATTTAAAAAACTGCTTTTTTGTTAACAAAAAATTAACCCTGGTGCGTCCATGTTGATGGGGATTAGAAGTTGATTGTTCCTTTGAGAGAAACAAAACGTTTAACTTAATTTGATCCTTTTTAAATAGGGTGATACAAAATTAAATGTAATGTCTATCTGTAAGGAAGGAATTATTAAACTTGGGCACCTTGTTAATTAACAAATATATCATTAATATATCAAACACTGCATAATATATCAGGAAGAATTCTGTCAGGATACATTTCAAGCAATTCTTGACAGATACTGATAAGCTGATCGATACATCATGCAGCCTCAAAATCTAACACTCTTACTAGTGGTCTTTAGGTGTTATTTCTGCCAGCATAATGCAGTATTACTGACTAAGCGATATGAATGTATACAAACAAAATCATTGTAAGACAAGACTTAAAAAAAACACGATATCAGCATGTTATATGATTCTTAAAAATGGTATTTTACACATGCTGAATTAACACAATTGGACAACTTAATAACTAGTACCGTATATATTTTGCACATGCATTATTGCTTTTATTCTCCCTATGGAGTGACACATGTCAGTAAATGTGAATATTGGTGTTTTAATAGCAGTGCATTTCTGACATCAACTTTTATTTATCTATTTAGTTTTTATGAATCATATGAATTTTAAATTAGCAAGATCTTTCTAGTTCAAGTGTGCAAACTAGCAGCTAAGAGGAGCTTCCTGCTTGTTTTAGAGCAGGGGTGCCCTGCCAGTCGATCGCGAGATGTGTCTAAAAATAGAACAACTATATTCTGTTTTATCGTTAATGTTCTATAACATAATCTTCCTGTGCCAGAATAATGTACTTGAGCGCATCAAAGCTTTGTGATTGGCGTGACCCCATGTGTCGGGGCGTGGCTGGTGGGCAGTGGGCACTAGTTAGCTGACGTTGTCCGTGTCAACAGGAGTGACAGTCCGCACACACACAAGACCGCAATTATGGCAGAAGCAAAAAAGCCCAAAATATATCATTTTCACTCTGAGTGGGAGGATGATTATTTTTTTGTTTATTCCAATTCAAAGTCCATCTGTCTCTCATCTGCAATGCGAGCGTGGCTTTACCGAAGAAGGGTAATTTAGAGCGGCATTTCAAAACGGTGCACAAACGCTACGAGACGGAATTCCCTCCTAATCCTAGAGTTAAACATGTGAATACATAATTATAAGTTTGTGAATGTTTAATTCATAATAAGTTGTGAATTTTAAGAGATGAGATTGTTTCATTTAATATTTTAAGTTTTGTTTCCCATGGGAACACCTTCCCGTTGCACGTCTTTGTTTACTTCCGGTATGTATTTTCCACCCTCCGCGGACTGGCCATCTGTAGAATCTGGAGAATCACAGAATGGCCGGTCGTCAAGGGCCGGCTCGATTCACTGACGGCCGCCACCGCCCTTAATTTTTTATGTTTTTAAATGTCATCATTGAAGTTGCACCGACAGAGGTCCGCCGTCTCCCAGTTGACAGTTCGCTAGCAACCCCCCCCCCCCCCCCCATTTGGACTGGTAGATCTCGGCAGACTGGCAACTTTAGAAGTAGCTCTTGGTTCAAAAAAGGTTGGGCACCCCTGTTTTAGAGGTTTGATAGGTTTGGGCTGGACTGAGTGGACACCATGCTGCTGTCACTCACCGTCATACTCTGGGAAGTAGTCGACCAGATGGGAGTACATGATCTTCTCCTCCAAAAGGTCCTTCTTGTTGAGGAAGAGAATGACTGAGGAGTTTTGGAACCAGGGGTACGTGACTATTGTCCTGAACAGAGCTTTACTCTCCTCCATCCGGTTCTACAGAGTGAGTGGATGTGTGTGTAAGGAGAGAGAAAGAGGGGAGGATAAAATACAAAGAGATAGAGAGAGAGAGCGAGAGATAATTATTTAATTAAAACAACAGTCTTTCATACTCATTAAGGACAGATTTTAATAAACGTTCACCGCACCAGAGGGAGAGCAGGAACGCTGAGGCGCCTTTAAGAGTTTCATTTCGTTCTTGCACTTTAATTCTGTGTCTAATTGAACTAAACAACCGTTCTGAAAGCAAGCCTTAGATATCAAATTGCCGGTACATTAGAGTATTAAGAATATCTCCAGTATATTATAAAAACTAATGTTACGACACGCAGGAGGACATGCAGCTGATGTCTTCTTCTTCTGCACTTTACAGGGCTTGCAGTAACAAAGGGAGGAAAATACATGGGCGCATGAGACACTCACATAATGAACGCACAGCTGCTCATTAATACACTTTAACAAACTGACACACATGCTATATCCTCTTAAGAAGGTGATTTGGCCCGAGGCGGTATTCAAAACAGCTGGCTGATCATTTACAAATGCTTTCCAAGGGAAAAAAGGTGGAGGGCGGCCAGGCCGGAGGAGAATCTGATTTCCATTGTTTTAAATAAGGAGTAGCTTTTCATCATCAGAGGAACTCAACTTCCACATCACATGCAATACTAAAGTGATTTAATATGTTTTTGAAAAGGTGAAATTAAGATCCCCAAAACAAAACATTTTAGCTCAGAGTTTTACATTTTAAATTGTGAAATGTGTGTGTGTGTGTGTGTTTTCATTATTCACCTCATTGTCTGATTCCACCAACACCTGGTCGTATTCGCTGAGTGCCACCAGGAACATGATGGAGGTGACGTTCTCAAAGCAGTGGATCCACTTCCTCCTCTCCGACCTCTGACCTCCCACATCCACCATCCTGCCATGGCAGCAACGCCCAGGACAGAGAAAACACTATGAGCAAAATGCTTGCTAATCTGTTTGATTCTCTTCCCAACACAATTTAAGGAAAGATATTTGCCTAACAAACCAAACAAAAGTGATTAAAATGTGATGACTATTGATCCTAGGGTGTGAGTCAAAGCAGAATATCAGCATTGTGAGTACGAGTACTACTTCTGATATTAGATAAGTGGGGAATTTGCTGTAATATATACTGAAGAATCAAAAGTGAAACAGCGTGCTCAGCCCGGTGCTATTACAAAGCTTTATGTTGGCTGTATTGGTGTAATTGATATTTTACAAGCTTATAAGATAAAGATAAGATAAGATGTACTTTATTGATCGCAATTTGGGAAATGTTTGCGTTGCAGCAGCATAAAAGACAAGGCATTGCACATAAGAGAAATTAAAAGGGTAGAAGTAAACAATTATAAAATGTAAACATCTCAAAATAGAGATAAAACTGCGTTATTGTGCTTATATATCAATTTGTTTATGTCAATACAATTAAATCAGGTACATTTAATTGGGTAAAAAGAACGCTATTTTCCTTTTAAATGTAAAAGTTTGGGAATGTTAGATTTTTTGGATTAGTGAAAGCAATTTAACTTGAACAGTTGTACTGATAAACATCAGTTGTTGTTAAGCTTTGTACACAAGGGCCATATATTCTTTCTGATTCTGAATACATCTCCTGACTGACCTGAATATGACACTCTGCAGGTCAAACGGGTATTCAATGATTCCCGTGGTTGGGACTCGAACCCTCAACACATCCTGCTGGGTGGGGAGGTAGGCCGGCAGCGATATCCGGTCCAACGCGTTCAGGTAACTATGGTCACAGAGTAAGGAAATTAATCATTTATTTATCATCACGGAAACCCTCTAGAATATATGTTTCTTGTACACATTTTTGTAACTCATTCTTTAATATACTGTATATATTTTTCAATATTAAATTGTATCTTTCTATTTTAAATTATCTTTTTATGTATATGCACCAACAAGGCACATTTCTTGCACGTGAAACCTAATTAGATATTGATCCTGATAACTGTAGTGGCTGCTGGGACGTTTTGTATTTCAGATTTATCTTATTTCAAAAAGTCTGCTGTGAGATATTTTATTAGCCTCAGTTTGTTCGGACTATACTCACTATTTAGTGGAGTCTGAGAGTTGGTATTCCCTCCTTCGATCGTAGCACTCCTGGATGCCTGGGTCATTCCATAAGCTTTTGATTGCATCTATGTAGGGATTCTCGAACATGCTGATCTTTTCTACGTCCACCTCTTTCACAAGGTTGGCATGGCCCTGGAGGAAAAAGAACAAAGACAAAAACTGACATGACTTTCTGAGACACACATCTTTACTTAACAACACCAAACTAAAGGTCATTCTTTATTTACCAAAACTTAAATCTTTTCTGATAGTCTAAAAACAGTGCCTATCAAAAACAATCAAGTTTTGCAGTCCTAATTATCCCTGGTTTATTTTCTCACTCACTCACATATTCAATAACTAAAATCTAAACTAAAAACACACTTCTTCTCTCTGGCTTTCTAGTTAGAGCGGAGCACGACTTTTCCGTGTGTTTTATTTTTATTTTGTTTTTAAGATATATCTGTTGTAATTTATTGTCGTTTATTGTGATTGTAGTAATGTGTTTTTATTACATGTACAGCACTTTGGCTCGACCAAAAATCGCTTTTAAATGTGCTATATAAATAAAACCTGATTTGATTTGATTTGATTTGAATAACCTGGAATAGCTCTACACCCCCAGGCTCAGCCTAGATCTCAAATCTGAGGCCCAAATCCCACCGGGGCAATTAAGTGAAACGTTTTTCTGCCCCAGATTCCCATTTAACTCTCCTGTGTCCCATGACGGTAGATCAACATGTGCATGAATCCTGACATTCTTTCTATTTCGCATACTGCACTAATTCAAACAATAAACAAATATAAATATAAAAGATCATAATAAAGTGAACATTAAGATGTCATATAAAACAGGATATGCAGATATTTCGTTCATGGGTGGGCTTGATAAGCCTACACTCATGACAGTAACAATAAGTGCACGGACACAGCCAGTGTAAACATGATCAACAGGTTTCATTTTCACTTCCTTAGTATTGTCAGAGGTATAAAACTTCCCATTTTAGCCCCATGTTTATGAAGGAAGAGGGATGTTGGGTATAAAGTATTACAGGCATTGTCATATGTTTTTACTTTTTTTGAGTACTGAACTGTACTGTACTAAACTTTTTTTATGTATTTGATTATTTGAGGGATGTGCTTGGTTTATATTGAGACAAGTGTGTGAGATACTTTTGCTGAAACAGCACATTCAGTTTCATTCTTCATAAGCATGTCGGATGGGAAGCGAAAGCTCACATGGACAATGACCCCCGCTACACCAGAGACGCGAAAAGTGACTACTAGAGTTAAATCCAAGATGCTGCGCCATTTAAAAGCCCCATTGCTGAAGGTGTGAGCAAATCAACCCTAACACACCAAAATATTCCCATACAGTTATAATATCAGCAATTTCAAATATTAGTATATATATTCAATATTGGTATCACCTTGAACAGTACATTTCTATCCCCCTTTTTCTGTGAATGTCAATAAAGAATTTGACTGTGTCCTGTTCCCAACATCCTAGGATTATAATCTGACTTCAGGATATCACATTAAAATATACTCAATTATTTATCAGCCCCTCGTAATCAAATCCCTACAAAACCTTTCAACGAGCGATGTGACTGGACTGTGGCCAGGCGGGGAGAAGCTGAAGTAGTGTGGTCAGCTGTCACCTCAAATGATCTGATTTATAAAATAAATAAATGAAGAAAGTTGCAGAGTTGATGACGACTATGCTCAACTTTCCCCTGTCACTCTCACAGGGACTAAACTGTGAGTACTGGTTACTGTAACCGCTCCCAAAACTATGATTAAAAGGGTGAAAAGTAGGAAATAAAAGGACCTGCTGACAGAATATTTAAGGAAAAGTGAGATCAATTTTGGGTGAGTAGTGTAAGGAAGGTCTCAAATGTGTATTTGAGAGTATATCTGCCCTCATAGATTTGAGTGCACTGAAACGCACAACACAAATACACAAAGGGTGCAATGAAGGGCTGGAGTGCTGTAAGGACACAGGAAGTGTCAAAAGGGACAGGAAACGATAATGGATGGCTGTTCCAAATAAGATAGACTGCACTCTAAAAATATACAAGGGCATTGGGGCCACTTTGTAGCGTATTTTATCCCAAACGAGTCAGGAGTCACAACAATCGTTATTTCAGTTGAGGAATTTGAAATGGCCTGAGCGAGAGGATCTCATTTACCTTGTTGAGCTCGTATTTGTAGGGCACCTTGAGCGTCTCCGAGGCTCGGATCATGGACTGCATGGATGTGAATATGTTCTGATAGACCAGTTTAGTAAAACTCCTTTTGTCTTCATCAGAATACCCGGTGCCGTGGATAATCCTCATCTGTTTGATGAATGTGCTCTTCCCACTTTCCCCAGTGCCTGAGAGAAAAAGTAGAATTATTATAAGTGTTGGTCAATCTACTTTGAAAGCATTCGAAAAAGTATGACAGCAAAGTTAATCAAGGGAGAAAAATGGTGTGTTTAACTATAAGTACTTAGAAATATTAATTGAAACTACTTCGTAAAAGATTATCAACATGTTATGCAAAATGTATCCAATCTTATCCAAAAAGATTGCCACCAAAGTGCGACCAAAATATTTGAACTGAACTCAATTGAGTTAATTTAACAAAGTGAACACTTATTTTCAGGTCATAGATAAACCAAAAACTAAAATAAGCCTGGGCCAAAATGGTAGTTTGAGTAGTTTATAAAAACATAAAAACACAAAGATAAGTTATTAACTACTTGAACCACTACAGTATGCACATATGAATGTAGTTGAACTAACAGCAAGTTACTGCAAAATGCATTACTGCAGTGTTTAAATGTAGTGCTAGCATAGTCAAAATGTAGATTTGGCTAAATTGAGGTAATAAAATCTTCTAAAAACATTTAAAAAAATACAATATGAATGTATGGAGTTTTTATTAAGGTAAAAAGTTAAATAATGCCCTTTTGTACACAACATCCTATCTGGGAAAACACACACATGTATACATTACACACAGATGTACAGCCCATGCACACAGACATACAGTATACTCAGTCACCCATGCACTCAGACACACATAATATTATGTGCTGGTTCCTTTCCTCTCAGCCTGTTGGCCTGGTCTGCTGAGAGACCAAGAACAACATCTCCCTGCTCAGTGGTGACAGGGACTGTTTGGGTGTGAAAAACTGAGGTGTGATTTCTCTTTGGTTCATTGAGAATCTTGGCAGAGCAGCTGAAAGGTCCAACTTCTACCTCACCACTCACTTTTGAGTGTGTGTTTCGACATGTCAATGCCCAAAAGATGTGTGCTGCATTCTGCGTTACCTTAACTCCCTATTGTAAGGCCTTGAATTGTATAACATAAAAGTATTTTTTTGCCAAATTAGTCTCTCAAGCACTTAACCAAACCACACTCAAGACTAAACTTTTGATAAAATACAATAACCTACAGAAGAACAGTGTTCTTTTTGTCTCTTTTATAGAGGCCTGACATTAGTAGACTGTTTATATGCTGAGGCCGGGCCAAGTACTAAACCCCTAAAATCTTAATTACAAACGCATGTAGCTGAATATTTATTCTCATACAACTTTTTTTTATGTATTTGGTTGCATAGGGCTTTTAAATATCAAAGTATAGCCTGTGCAAAGTTCATACATGCTCCCACTTTTTGATGTTGAATTGGGTTTTCAATTGCTCCATGTTAATGCTGTTGCGTTATCATTTGGTGCACTTTTAAAATTGTAGCACCAAAGCCTGGCTGATCCCGTCACCACCTGCTTTCCACGCCCGCTATGTCCAACTATAACTAACTATTACATTAACCTCCTGACAAGTAGTAGTTGTTGCCCCACCATAAATGGTGTGAATCACAACAGTTAAAGGTGGGGTAGGTAATTTTGGAGAAACCAGCTCGAGTGCACTAGAATTTGAAAATACACAGCCGGAAAAAATCTGCCACTTCCTTACAGAGCCCCTCCTCCAACACACACGAACGCGCACATGACCAATGAGGGCACGAGATAAGTTTGTGCACAGATGGAAGGCTGACAGGCAGGTAGACCATCCAGTTATTTTAGCCGGGCCGGCTAAAATGATTGGTCGTGCTTTTTACAGTACTACGGCTTCCACAGATGAATTTTTTTATGGATTTTTTGTCAAAGCACTTAAGATATTCATTGCTATCGGGATGTTAAGAGCATTCCATGGAATATAATATAAAGTGTATCTCGAGCCGGTTTCTCAAACTTACCTACCCCACCTTTAATGAGTCAGCCATAAAAAAATAGCCACATTCTATTTTTTAAACAGGCAAAGCGGAACAGTGCAGCATTTAAAATAAGAAACATAATTTAAAAGCCTTAGAATATTGAGGACAACAATTTCTCTAAAACATTTCCACCTCTGGGTTTTAATGGCTATTCTCTATTACACCAATGAGAGACACTAAGAAGCCTGAGAGACAGCAAGTATGCAGGGTTTGAGTGTGTGCTGGCCATTAGAGGCTGCTGAGTCACCTTTCAAACAAATGCAGTGACCAAGCATTAACCCCGTGTTTGAGTTTCGTATAAAGGCTTAGCATCTGACGGAGGATGTCTGATACCACGACTCATGAACATGTTCAGATTCCGAGAAAGGAGACATACAAGTATAAAAAAAGCCGTGTCTGTGTGCGGTGCATTTATGTTACTCTGGACATTTGAAACTTGAATGTGAGCTGACTGTCACAAATTTAAACTGGTAAACAAACATATTAATTTGCTTTCTCCATTAGAGCTGCTGTTCATTAGCAGCCTGACGCTGTAGTTTCCACAGCACCTTGAATGCACCACAGTATCAGTGGACTGTGGACCCTGCTTCTAATAGCATTTTACAAGGGTCACACACGGCTTGGTTCTTATTATGAACTAATAAGCTTATTTTATGGTAACATTTGAGTCATGGCATCACATTTGTAGATATAGGTGTGAGCCATTTTGCCCTTTTCCCTCTCAGATAAACATAATTTGGGGTTTTTGGAACATTCATTAAGTGAAATGTAACAACTCTGTGATTCTGGTGCTTTCAGTGAAGGAAAATGTCATGTAAATCAACACAGTAATACGTTTCAAATTGATTGAATAATGAATAAAATCTGAGAGAATGCAGGTACTATGCAAGTATCTAACTCCACTGCAATTACATCTTTTTCGCTATAGTGAAACTTAATCGTAATATATAATAAAATGGACTTTCTTTAATTGCAATTTGTATCGTTCCACTGTTAACTTGGCTGTATTCATTCAGGAATCATATGACATCTTTAGTGCTTCCTATCGTAATTACAACCATGTGCTTGTTAAAAGGCTTGTTAAAAGTTGCGGTGGACTTTGTTCAATCCTTGATAAAGTTCCCACAGCTTTTATTGGGCCGATAAGTGCAGCTGATATTGATTGGGTAGATCTGCACTTTCGCAAATGTTTTTGACCGATGATTTGCAAAATGTGAGAGTTAAAAGTGCAGATTAAACATGTTGTGATGCTGCAATGATTTTTAAATTATATCCAGCTGTGAAAGTTGAACACAGTTACATTTTCTGTGAATAAAGAGGTAGCCTAATTTAAAAAAACTCAGCTGTTCATAACTGTTCTGATGATTCAAATCTGATTTACCTTCAAACCCTGCCGTCCTACTTGTCTTTGATTTTCTCTGTGGAAGTGTGTTAAGGGGGACAGGCATCATAAACTAGATCCAAAGGTCTCCTGAGGATTGGAGCTGGGCTGTGCCACTTTTGTAATTGAGCATGGTAAATCAATTAAGCAGATGGAGAAAAGCCTAAAAACGTTTCATGTTTAACCCTTTTGACTGTCAACAGATGTTTCAGTCCTCAATGCTCAATAAATAGAAGTCACATGTGTGCAATACATGTTGGAATGCAGCGTGAAACAATATCTCAATCCACTTAGACAGATAAAACTCTGATAATTACACTGCCATCCTAGGAAACTCTACACCCTGCATGTTCTCTTTCAGTAGTTTCAGTTCAGTGTGTTGTGTATGTTCAGTAAACATGCTCAAGTGAGGCAAAGTATTTCTAATTACAAATATTGTATTCATGAAACACACAGCCCTTACACTAGGGCTGCTCAATTAATCGTATTTTAATCGCAATTACGATTATGAAAACAGCGTAATCGAAATAAAACGATTATCTTTTTATTATTATTATTACTTTTTTTTGTATTGGTTTTTCAGTTGAATTATACTTATACTACTAAAGTTCAGGGTAATCAACTGTTAAAAACATACTGTTCACATTTTCTTTCTACAATAAATTGATGTTTTCAAAGTAAATGGATAATCGTTTTTAATAATCGTGATATCAATTATTGACCAAAATAATCGAGATTATGATTTTTGCCATAATCGAGCAGCCCTACCTTACACAGACATGGACGTCGAGAGATCAAGGGTATTGGTCAGTTGATCATTGGACTTTTTTCTAGATGACAGCATCCTTTAAATTGTGTTGCACTATAAGCTCACTGAAAGGAGTTCCAATTACTATAGTTGTAACAGCTGTTAACTCAATCAACAAACATGCCAGAATATTCACTGATTCGATTGGTAGCCATCCACAGAAATGCCTTTTATACAAAACCAACTAAATAAAGATAGCAGCCTGGAAAACAGTATATCCCTCTAGTCTAAAGCATATGGAGGATGGTCAGCATCCAAATGCTTGCAGTGAGCAGCTATGTGCAAAAACATAAAAAACATGGCCCTATGACTTTAAAGTCTCCAGACACTATGTCACCATTCTCATGCTGCTGCTTTACTCTCTTCCCCATTCATCTTGAACTTCCCATTACTGCAAAGGTTTGGAATCTCAGCTACTGCAATGGAGCCTTTCTACCTTCTTCCCCGTCAGTTTACATCTCTTCAGACCTAATGTCATTTAAAAGAGTAACTTTACTAAAAATGTCAAGACAATACAACAGTCTAAGTCTAGTGGTATTTATCATTTTCACCATAACAAACAAGGTCAAGCTGAATGTCCTTATCGCCGGTACATTTCCGATGGTTTGTAAAGTAAAAGAGAAGTGCTCTTCTTTATCTCAACAACTAGTCAAGTGCCCTCTAAGGCTGGTGCCCCACGGGAACGCAATCGCAAAAAAACTTCCGTCCACACGCAATATACACCGGATAGCAGGGGCGGACTGGGACTACAAATCAGCCCGGGACTCTCGACCGGCCCACTTCGGTACGGCCGGCCCACCTCGGTACCGCAAGTAAATAATCGACGGGGACGGGGACGGGGGTGCTAGTGAGTTATCCGAGCGGCCCACCTCGGTGCCGCGCAAGTAACTACCGCGAGGAAATTGTCGACGGGGGGGGGGGGGGGGGATGCTAGTGACTTATCCGACCGGCCCACATCGTCCGACCGGCCCACTTCAGTACCGGCCCATCGGGATTCGTCCCGAACATCCCGATGGCCAGTCCGCCCCTGCCGGATAGTGTCTGTTCACACGAGACAGCTCCAACCGCTGGAAAAAGCTGCAGTACATATGCCGAGCCTGTACGTGGCGCTGTAATTTCCTCCACAAAAAGCAGCGAAGAAGCATGGTTGTCATGGTTGCGCTTCTGTTTATTCGCCGTGGTGGGGGCCGAGGGAACCGGGCAGAGTTTTTCGCCGGTCAACGTGTGTAAAAGTTTAAATCTTCCGGACAAAATTATAAAAGTGCCGGTCAAAGGTCTTCTTTGTTATTTATTAAGCTTTAAAACAAATGAATAACGACTATATATATAATAATAAAATACACGGAGCCTGTCCTCTCTTTTTCCTCTCTTCTGACAGCGTCAGTGTCTGTCTCATGCAGCAGCTGATCCAGTAATGAGTGACCCGGCCGACAGTAAAAAATAAACATATTTATAACTAGTTTAGGTAGTTTGAGAGGTAGGCTAATTAAAATAGCTAAGGGTGATGATCTGACTTGAAGTGTGTGTTTTGCTCCTCCCGCTGTGATGCAGCACACACAGGAGCTGCGTGGAGCTGTGTGTCTCCATCCTGTCAGATTAGACTTCACTCGCGTTTATGTCCATATCGAGATAAAGATAAATAATCTGAATTCAGTGTGCAGTTTACTTTTGCGGGGGTGAACAGCAGAGGTGGGGGGAGGCAGGGCTATTGCGTCATCATTATCACAAAATGATCGTATAGAGGCGATCACACGGAGCCGTATGACCCCCCCAGAGCGCTCCGTTCCCAGATCTATCCACCTTTGGACCCGTTATCGTTTGCGGGGTCCGTTTCTATCGTTTCGTTACGGCCTCGTGTGGCAAAAATGGCTATACGCAAGAGAAATATGCGGATACAACCCGTTTTCGTTCCCGTGGGGCACCAGCCTAAGCATTGTCCGCTCCGCCTCCAGTGTAGCCTCAATTGGAAAATAAGTGAGTTCACTTGTGCAGACTTTTGTCCTAAAGAAAATTCTAAATGTGGGAGGATCTGTCCCAACAGCAGTCTCATTTCTCTGACACAAATGTATTAAAGGTCTTATCTGGCTCTTGATGTTATATGCAGCAATTTCATCTGACAAATTGAAACTTTGTTTGGAGGTGTGCCCACATTACGGTTACTGCTCTGGCTGCTGTTCAGGAACAGTTTTGCTGGAAGTGCGTTTGATTTACTCAAATGTTCTGTGGTTCTCAAAACGTAACACAGTGGTTCAATAACTTTTGCTGTCATGCATGCTTTTGAAAGCTTCTTTTTTATTCAGCATTTACTGGATAATTCTGGATAACAATATTCTTGCTGGCCTTAAGTTCCCAAATGAATCAAACGTTTTTCAGAGCAGACATACTAAGATGAGCGCAGGTGGCACTGCAATGCAGCAATAACCAATGGTATTAGTCACACCTGTGTTTGATAAGTCAAGATGTCCGCTGTGAAAAAGGTCGGTTCAACTCATTCCAGACAACGATTTTGGTTTTGTTCGGCAGTTTTGGTACCACTGAGTTACGTTATTTTTCTCACTTTTTAATATTAATCTTTTGGCAAGGTTGGTATAAATTGCAAAATATCAAAATGTATTAATACAGCTAGGTTTTAGCAGAGTGCATTGCAAGTTGTTAGCCTTGTTGATTTACATGAAGTCTTGAGCATTAACAGGTGGAAAAAACACTTTTTTGTTTTATTTCTTTGTAAAAAAGATTATGAGTGGTTTCATTTTCAATTAATGTGTAATGTAATGTTCATATATTGGTGGTAGGGATCATTTTCAGTTGGCTCTTATCGAGATGCCCTGCCTCATTCTTCTTTAGTGGACAATTAATGTTAGCTGGACCTTTCCTAAATCACCTTTGTTAGTGAATATATTATCTCTGACTCATGAACAGTCAGTTTCTCTTGTTTGTTTGTGATGGAAAGCTCTACACTATTAAACACTCTCTCCTCTTGCTTCAGCAACTCTTCCACTCAGTCACTAGTTTTGACAGCTTAACTGAGTGACAAGTGACAGTTTCAATACAACTCCATTACTATTATACCATGCCTCAATAGATATTGGTGCACAGGGAGGCTGGATAACAGGCTTGTAATGTTTAAAAAGTTAACAAATTGAAAACTTCTGAAATTGACGGGAGAGATTTGTGCTGGATCCCAGGAGGCTTTAAGCAATTAGTGAGTTTGAAAACCCACAATACAGCATATGGGTTAATGGAGCCATAAAGAGCAAGCATAATTTCTTCTGGTTAACTACTGGGAGGGGTGGTCATAATTGTTTTAAGAGCTCAGACACGAGCATGTTGGTGTGACATCACGCATACGGCTCATCATTACTGGAAACCATTTACTCTGCTCAATATTCAAAATGTATAGTAATAAACTGAAATATAAGCAGCTTTAACATCCAAAACATATATAAAAAAATACATACTGATTAAGAATCCTTATTAATTTGGTCTGAGCCATCAAATGTTTTGTATCAGGAGAATAATGATTTGTCATTGAATAAAAAACATATGTCTTATGAGAACTATAGTTTCATCCTCAAACGTTCATACTTTTTGGTTGAGGTCATTGGCTGTTTGCGTAATAGACGAATTACTGGGAATTTAAGGAGATTAGGTGAAAACAACAACTCAATTATTTGTCTATACGGGGTTGGCAGTCAGCTCCTTCAAACCCTGTTAAGAGGGATTCATTTTATCGTTGCGTACTAACAGGAGGGCAAACCTATGCTAAAACATGCCTAACGAGGCAAAAGCCTTGCACGTCTTCTTCAGAAAGTAGCCTGGGTAATGTGAGGTTAAATGCTAGCCTGTTCCACCACCTTCTCCTCCATGCATTTTCAGAGGGACTAGGAGGAACAGGAAGAGAGGTTTCTCGCACTGCTCTCAACAACCACAGTCATCACAACTAATGGGCTTGTCGTTGCAAATCTAATTTAAAACTGGATGGTGAGTAGATGACTTGTTTTCCTCAACTGTCTCCAATATGACTAATACTTCTCGGCATGATTAACAGCCGCCCCATATCACAAGTCTACACTGTAGAAATGCATGGTTACCATAAGATAAGACGTCTATGGCACACCAAGACTTTTCAAACTTGTGTGTCTCTGCTACAGTTGCATGATTTTGAATGGTGATTCAATTAATTTGAGATTCATTCAAATGCATTCATGTATAAGAAGGTGGGTGCATGAGCATACCATCACACAAGCCTCTTTTTATATTTATAAGATGTCGACCTTGCTCCATACACTTGCACCTGTGATATAATCACTGCCAGGGTTAGGTGTTAAGCTGCAACACTGCCTTGATTACTCCCAATAAAACGCTAGACTTTGGCCCTGCCATGTTTGACACACTTGCAGGCACACCACCTGGAGGGGCCCTGGAGGCCTGGCTGCACAGGTGGCTGATCAGGCCAGTGAATGCATTGAGAGGTATGAGTGTGAGGCCCATGGTAGACACATTTGTTTCCTAGCCGGTCACAGTTATTCAAATCAGCTGGTTTTTACGCTGAGAACCCTACAGGCCTGGCTGGGCAGCATCTCCTCCCTCTGCTGATCTGCCAATCTGTGCACTCGACTCACAACACCGAGGTATTTCAACACCCAACTTCACTCAGGTGGGAAGCCCCATTATTAAACCCCCACGGCCCACCCCCCTACCAGACCGAGATATTTTGGTGAGAGGAATTTGGGCTGTGCATCTCTCTCCCCACTCCTCTCCCTCCCCTTGTTTCTCCCCGCCGAGCTTACCGAGAAGCAACAGTTTCAGCTCCCGGCGTGCGTCCCTCTTGTCCCGGCGGAGCTGCCTCTCGATCTCGTCGTTGATCCGCCTGGCTTCCTTCCCCTCCTCGCTGAGGCAACACGCCATTATGGATTCCAGTGTCATTCTCTCTCCTTTTTTCAAACACGCACTTTCCCCTCTTACTGATTCATTCAGATTTCAAATTCGTCGGGGTAAAAAATGTAAAAAGCAGAGGCCTGTGATCCCCAAATAACGTCCTCATACAGGCCTGCGTGTGGTGAATAACGCGTGGACGCCCTTATAATGAGCCCGAAAAGCGCACAGATTGTGGTGGAAAGGAAATTGTTATAGTTTAGAAATTATTGACACACCATCCCCCCGTTTCGGTTCGCTTTCTGGGCTTCCCGTGAGCTTCAAAATAGTGTCCAAAGCAGTTTGGGTTGAATATCTGTTCAATCTTAATTGGTGTAATCTGCTTTTCCTTCTCAATATGATCAACAGATCCTTTTAAGACACATCCTCAATACTGCTCGGTGTGATCTCGTTAAGCATTGCCATCCGTGCCCTGCCACCTCTCTTCAAAGTCTTCAATGTTGTTATTTTTCAATCAACAAAACCACTGTGTTCAAGTAATCGTCCGTGGGTGAAAGCAACGGGGAAAACACTTGAATAAAGCTGTCCGTTTATTTTCCAATGGCTCGACTCCCGGGCGTGGTAAAGCAGAATATGGCGGACTTTCACTCCAATCCGCTAGGCTGGTATACAGTACAGTTATCTCTCGCTGTCTGCTAAAAAAAACCATGAAAGCCACACATAACATGGCATTTCAGCCGGAACTGTCGATGCCGCGACCAGAATATATCCCCGTTTGTTTTTAAGAGGCGTTCACGTCCATGGCTCATCAGAAGGGTGAAGAAAGCGAAAACCGCCGTGTTGTTGCCTTTTCCCCGGACAATCTTCTCCTTTTCCTCGATTCTCTTCATGTGTTTTTATTACAGAGGCCATCCACTCCTCCGCTGGCAGGGTGACGTCGGCCTCATATCGACAAGGGGGGAGTGTCACGTCAAACAAACGCCACACAAGTATTTATACACCCAAATCTGTGGAAGAGAAAATGTGTATGAGTGGAGAAGCTGAACCCTTTTCTCTATGGGCGTGGGCGTAATAGTGGACACAACTCAGTTGTTGTGCTGATTTAGTGGGAAGAGTCGTCACAGTCCCCATATAGACTGTAGATGTTCTTAAATATGACGATTAATTTTTACAACAAATTCAACTGTTTCCCATTGCGAGGTTAACACCTAGTGGAGTTAAAATAGCATCGTGGTGACAATTACAAATACACCTGTAGGCTATGCAGGCCAGTAAATATTCCTTAATCTATTTGTGTGTTATTATTGTTTTGGATTGACTTTATGAAGATAGCCTCAAAATAAAAAGTATTTATCTCTATAAAATCAGTTTAGGGCTACATTTAGTAAATTGGCTTTTTATTGCAGAGCAGTTGCATTACAAATGCCCATTACATCCTTTCCAACCTTTATATCTTACAATTTCATGAACATAGACAGACGGAAAAGAAAAGCTTGAATATTGTGCAGGAGAGGTCAGATACCTAATTTACCTTATAAATAAATATGTAAGTAGGCCTATAGTCATAAAACAATAAAATAAGATACTTATATCCTCTGTGCATTATGCCTTTAACCAACTGGATAGTAACACAGTTACAGTTGTTACAGTTGTTTTATTCTAACAAAAGGCCCACACACATACAGATTGATGAAATGATAAGTGGATGAATGGATAGATGTTGGAGGCCATATCACATATCCACAGTTGTTCCATTATGATAATCTCCTCTGTTGCCAGCCTGAGCCATTAGTGTTATCAGTAAATCTGTGTCCTTTTTACTTCTGCCTTTTCCACAACTCAATAATTGGATATCATTATCCACTCATTGTCAGTCAATCATGTTATAACACAACACTATTGTGTGAGTTGTTTAGTTTGGGGGCTTTAAGTGGCTGCTGGGCTTTCAGGGGACTTCTCAGTGCCAAACTAATCAAAACAGTAATAAGTCTGGGTCCCAAGTAACATACTGAATTTGTACTTTGGATCCCTGTCATATTAATGTCCAGAACCACGGCTGTAGTGAGTGTTGACCTTCTTTTCAGGCCAGTTTTGGTTTAAAAGCTTTTTGTTTTTGAGGCCTGCCTGAAAACTTGCCAGCTTTGTTTTGCCAGCTTTGTTTTGTGACAGATCTGTCACATGCTGTGTTCCTTCTGTAATACTGCATCAAATTCAAATCATTTAGGCACTGCTTTGCTAAGTCTAATATACAGATGGGCATTTGCAGGGCAAAGTTCAAGATTGTTCGGAACTGCACCATAAAAACGATAAACATTACTACTGCATACTCTCAGTGCTTTCATTAGTGTGTGACATAAATCTTTGCAAGTCAGAGCAGAATCAGAATACCTTTATTTGTCCCACAGAGAGGAAATGTACGATGTCATACGATAAGTCAGGGTGACAGTATGGGTAAGGTAAGGTAAATCAGCATCAAGCCAGAGACCCTTCATAGTGAATTGCAAGCAATTGTCTTCAATAGCTTTTATTAGATAGATAGATCTGAGCCACAATGAAGTACATGAAAATGTTACATGAAGAAAACAATTTGTGCCCAATTAATGTTAGCTGTCCTGGGACCTGCCTAATTTGTCCCATATTTCTAGCTTGGGGAGTCATTCGACCTGTGCCGGTAATGAAAGTCAACCAACAAGCTCTGTAGAGGAAAAACCAGCCACAGGTCAGTAACATTTAATCTGTCGTGTACTGTCATAATCTTGGTAAAAGTAAAGATTCCAGTTAAACTAATGTATTATGTTAGCTGAAAATGGTATCATCCCAGGTTATTTTTCATCAACCATAAAACCCTGCACATTTTAAATGTCATATTTTGTTGGTTGAGCGAGCCTCATGTGTCCCTCCCTAGTTGTTGCAACTGATGATTGCATGAACCTTGAAATGGGTCTGTTTTTGGAAAATAATTGTATTTTGTACTCACTGGTTCTCATTTGTGAATGTGTTTAATTTATATTATTGGAGACAATGCTATGTGAAAGTACCAACGGATGTACAAAGAGTAATTATAAATAGTGTGGTGTGCACATGGGTTATTTCACCTGGGAAACATGGACAGCAAAAATGTTCACATTTATTGCAAGGTAAATCAGACTTTTATTTTGTAAGGGACCGCTTTCGGTCACTTCCTGCCCCGTGTCACGTGATCAAGCCCTCGCCTAGATACGAGCAAAGCGTCGCTGCTCCACGGTCGCTACGGAGAGAGGGATGGGTCTGTTGTATTTAAAAAACTGTACTTTTCCACGGTGTTAGGTCAACTTACTGTCATGGCAGTGTATGGCACATGCTTCTCGGTTGTTGCGACAACCACTTTAAACCGTGCTAACGTTTGCATATACACTTTCGTCTGCTGCTAGTACTTTAATCTGTCTTGGCATGACTGATAAAGATTAGTTAGCATGCTAGCGAGCTAGCCACACAGCCTCAGCAACACACAGCGACCACACCTGCCAGGTAAGACATCTTAAGTAACTCATCTGCAGGATTTTGGGACATTACAATGACGAGCCATTAACAATTTCACCATAAGTAATTACGGTTAAAATCGTAGTTGTGACGTAATGTTTGCCAGCACAGTTTACAGCAGGTGTTTTCGAGCGACTAATTCCTTGTGACAGTAATGATGCGGCTCTAATAGGATTTGAGCCCTCTCCTTCCTGTCGATTGTTTGAGGAGTACACCAGGATAACGAAGAAGGAGCTTAGCTTAGCTGTGCGTGTGTTTCTGTGAAAGAAAGTAGTGTTTGCGTGAGGACGTGCAGTTTAACTTCACTTTACAACTGGTCCGTCTCACTTTTATGCAATGCAATTCTCCGAAAGAGGCTGTTTCTTTCTACATTTGGGTGTGTGATTTATGTGAGTCTTAAGTCGTTTTACATAATTTCTTGGCCTACAGTGCATGTGAAGCAAGCAATGCCCTTGTCTAAGCATTGAAGTTTCGAACTTAAATACTATATGATTTTAGCCATAGCAATGGTACACTTGAAGTTTGATCTTGATGTTTCTGTGTGGTTTGATCCATTGTCCCAAATCATCACCACTTTCTTTAGTCCAGCTAAGGTTAAATCATGATGTTTGTTCTACTTTGATAGTATTTCTTTCTGTGGATCAGTGTGGCTGTAGGTTCCTAGCAGACATGGGCAAACTACAGAGCAAGTTTCGCAAGAGGTCGGAGATCTACAGGTGAGACGTGTGAACTATTATAAAAAGGTTCTGTGTACTTGTACTGTATACTACATACTAATTAGAACCAGAGTTTCTGTACATACCTACATACATTCTTTGGAAATATATGTTGCTGTCTGTAAAGTTTACTCATCTTTTTGGTAGCTGTAGCGGTATGATTACCAAGAAGCTACGTTTATAATGTGCTATATCAAGAAGATACTAGTGCACACAGTGTATTACATTATACGTATGTGTTTACGTGGGACATGTCATTAACAAATGTGGTAAAGGTCATTGCAATCATCTCAATAATTCTTCTTAAGCAGATGGGTTTTAGCAGTGCAGGTTGTAAAGGAACCTAATGATGATGATTATAATAGAGATAGAGATACCACAAGCTAAGAATTGTGGCTGAATATATATAATTTGTGATTCCCTTATTCTATTGGTGTTTTATGTGCAGGACAACTCAGGTGGAGAAGCCAGAAACTACCTTTGACAGCAAGGTGGTGCAGTACGAACCTGCCCATAAAGGGTCCACCAACACTGTCACCAATCTGAGCCCAGAGCTCTGTGTTTCCGGTGGAAGTGACCAGGTACATTATTCTATGTACTAGATGTATCCCAAATAATACAAAGTTGGTGATGTCTTTATTCAGACTTCAGGGTAATAAATAAACCAGTGTACCAGTTTAAAGATAATTATAATGACTAATTCCTAAAACAACTGGAAATGCACCGTTCACATTTTTATTAAGATGGTATAATCAGTGTCATGGATTACAAGGTTGTCAGTGTTATCCCGTCCTACTCCATGTTGAAGCACAAATTGCTCCTGATGGTCAGGCAGCTGTTCTGCTAGCTTTTGTATTTGGTGTGGCTCAAAGGGGTATATGACGTTGTGAAACTTGTGATGTACTTTGGATAGAAACTCTCTTAAATGTAGCCATTTAACATGATGTGGAAAATCATGTGATTCTTGTGTGCCAATATGTCTGTGTGTGTCTGCTCCTGTAGGCTGTGGTGGTGTATGACTGGAAGCAAGGCCGGATGTGTCAGACATTTCAGGGTCACAACCGAGAGGTTACCAAGGTAACGTCAATACTATGTGTGCACAAGCTGATAATGGTGTGACGCTGTTCAGAACTGTGACACATCTTCTCCTCTTGACTCTGCCTCCCTCTATCTGCCAGGTGGTGTGTTATCCAGGCAGCACATGGATCTTTAGTGCCTCACGGGACAAGACTGTCCTGATGTGGGACCTAAACCAGGGGGACGAACCTATCCAGGAATTTTGTGGGCATGAGTTGGTGGTCAATGGACTAGCTATCAGTCCTGGTACACACACACACACACACACACATACACATACACACACACACACACACACCTTTTACTCGTAAATGCGATATCTGAGTAAAGTTTCGAAGAGATTTCTTCAAATTTGGTCTTAAGGAGTAACTGATGGTCAAAGTTGAAGTGCCTGTGAGCTCATAAAACACTTTGACCATAACTCAAAAGAGCATCTGCTTATTATGTAACTTTTACAGAAATGTATAATTGAATAAAATGATGGATGTGATGACATTTTGGTCAGATGTTGATGTAGATTGCAACTTAGTAACTCTAGTCTTCCTTTCCTGATCTGCACTGATCAAATAGAATTGTGTTTTTTGTTGGTTTGTAGAAGGGAGAAAGCTGTGTACTGGTTCTCGTGACAACTGGATGTGCCTGTGGGATATAGAATCTGCAAAATGTGAACAGAGACAGAACGTTTCTAGAAACCTGGTGAGAAAAACAGTATGTGCTTTTGTGTACATAACCATGTACTATGAATTGTTTCAAGCACGCTGGATCCCCTGAGGTGTGTACCTGAACATGAAAGAAGAAGAATCAAATCAAAAAGCTATTCAATCTGACTGTTCCTCCTGAGTTCATACCCTGCAGGCTTTAAACTTTTCCACTGTCCTCTCTCCTCTGGCCAGGTGACTCATGTTTGCTGGGTGCCAGGCAGCTCCTCTGTAGTCCAGACCTCTGAGGATAAGATCATAAGGTACAGAAAGACTTGCTACTGCAACTATATTACTGTAGAAGAAAATATGCCATCTGCTGCATGGGTAGATCATTCATTAGAAATCCACTTTGTTTGCAAATGGTGATGTAATACACTACAATTATTCACTAAAAGGTCACAATATCTACTTGTATAACTGTCTTACACTTAACCTCCTTAAACCCCTGACATCACCTCATGAAGACCACTGTTTGTGAGGAGACGCTAGGCATTGCAAACTGTAAAACTAAGATGTCATAATTATACAGATGTAAATAAAAGATGTGTTTTCTCTTTTTATAAATACAGTTATCAGATCGTGCCACAATAGACACACATTCTCTTTCTTATTCAATTAGTTGGATAGAGCCTGCAATGTATTTAAGCAGTATATACTTGACATGAGGTCTACTTCACCACCTTGCAATTGGCATTATTTGATTGAATTTTGTCTCTGTATTAATTCAATAAGTTATGATGCAAACAAATATTGTGTTTGTGTGTGTGCACAGAGTGTGGGATAGCCGTGCATGGCAGGTGACCAACACTTTTCCTGCCAAGCAATATATCCAGACCCACTGTGACGTGTCTCCAAATGGACACTACTTGGTGTCCAGCAGCAACGGCTTCGGAGGGCAGGGCTGTGAAGCCACGGTGAGACCAGTGTGGTTGTTGTTGTGGTTGTTTGTTGGACCTAAAGATATACAGTGGCAGGAAAAAGTGAACCCTTTGCATTTGCAATTTCCTGGTTTTATTCATGAATTGGGCATTAATTGTGATCTTATTTTAAGTCACAAGTATAGACAAACACAATGTGCTTAAAGGGGACCTATCATGCAAAATGCACTTTTGTACGTCTTTTATACATGAATATGTGTCCCCGGTGTTCCAGGGAACTCACCAAGTGTCAGAAAACACAACCCTCTCTATTTTCCTCCATACCCAAATCTCTAAAAAAGGGGCTGCAACGGATCTGATCAAAACTGATCCAGATTTGAACACTTTCCTGACGTCAGGACAGTGGCGCTACGGCTATTGGGCCAACTCCACCAATCAGGAGGAGACAACCACGGCATTGCCGTTCGAAAGCGCTGGAGACGTTGTAGTACATATGCCAGGCCTCTAGATGGTGCTGTTGCTCACAGAATCAACCCTTGCTAAAACGGATCTAAAAAATGTCAAATTGAGCAAAATGAGGCATGGCTAAAATGCATGATCTGTTTGGTATTTTGAAAAAAAAAAAGTATAAATATGCCTTATACAGGTATGGTCCTACACTATATTATTAAAATATAGCATGATAGGTCCACTTTAAACTAAACTAATAACACATAAACATTTAGAATATTAAATGTCTTAATTGAACACGCCCATTTAACTGTCAAAGCACTGGTGGAAAAAGTAAGTGAACCTTTGGATTTAATAACTGGTAAAACCTCCTTCTGCAGTATAATAACTGCATACAAGCGCTTCGGTAACACCAGATCATACCTGCACAATTTTCAGGTATGATTCATTTTGGACCATTTTTCCTCCTCTTCGGGTCATTCCACTGCATTTCTTTTGGGATAACGTCTTGGCTCTGACTCCAGTAGCTGTTTCAATAATTGTGTATTATTGCTTCTTTTGGTGTGTTGGCAATAGAAAAAAGAACCTATTTCAAATCATTCTTCACCCCAATAAAATTCTAAGTTGAAAGTTGACAATCTCCAATGAATCTACTGTCTTATTTAGATCGTTTTTAAAACTGCTGACAGTCCTTTGTTCTCAGTGGAGTTGTGTCTGTGTTATTAGCTCTGGGACCTGCGCCAGCCCGGCTGTAAGGTGGTGGAGTACAGGGGTCACCTCCAGACCACCGCCTGCTGTATGTTCCTGCCTACACCTCCTGGGGGCTCACCTCAGGTAGCAACATCCTCACATGACAGCTCTGTCAAGGTCTGGGATCAAAACACAGCAGGTAACATCTACTTATGCATGGAAACATTGATATACAAACAAAAACAAGCACACATGGGCTCTGACACTGTTCCTCCGTTCTCTGCTCAGTGTGTTTAGGGACGTTGCATCTGGATGGCGCTGGTCCACTGGTTTGTCTCACTCCCACCGACTCTGCCAATCTGCTGTGTGCCAGCTTCAACAACGGCCTCCATCACATCCAGCTGGGCAACGGCATGGATCAGGATTCTGGGGCATGTTCAGGTGGAGCCGGTGAACTGGACGTGAAAGTTGTGGCGCGCTTCTGAAAGCTCAACCCTGACCTGTGCAAAGTGAGCGGTATCACTGGATATGGACAATATGGCCGTTCTCTTTTTTTACAATTTGACATATTTTTCTGTAGGCATGTTTTGCTTTACGAGACTGCCATACAGTGAAGATTGACAGAGGAGGCCATTGAGTAGAGGAGTACATGATGATGATAATGATGATGATGATGATGATGACATCGTGTATGCACCTTTTGTCCAGCAAAGCCCCCTGGAGGCCATGCTGGGATTGCTGCCTTCTTCTACAAAATCTGAAAGATGGGGGATTACTCTCAGTTTATACCCTTCTTCCCCAAGGTGGATCTGACAAGATGCTTCATGGACAGGTTGTATGGATTTTATTGGTGGTGCTGAATATGTCTGAAGGATATCTTGATGCAGAAGTAGTGGTGTAAAAAAGTGGAAGCAATCCATAAAGAAAAAGAGCCAAAAAAACTATTTGGTCAGGTATTACTTCTTTAGTACGTGCAATCAGACTAGCAGTCTTGTTAGTCAATCACTGTGTTAAAAGTTATATTATGTGTATGTTGATGATTATTTAGTTGTACCATAGCATTAACCTAATAGACCAAATGCCTCCCTACAACACAAGACTGTTAAGAAATTAGGTTTGTTTACAGATTGTTATATTTTTTAGTAATCCGCTTTATAGCTAAGTATTGTTTTAATGAATAAATGGGAATCAAATATAAAAGCAAGCTTCTCTGCAACCTGTTAACATTAAACGTGGTACCAGTCATTCTGCTTTTAATATGGTGTCTCTACTGTGATATTAATGACAGATGTTGAACTACTTTGTAATAATGAGCAATCCAGACTTGCTATTGTTTAGCCAGCAAATGCTAATGTTAATATTAGCAGCCTTAAGTAAATGACATTTGGACATTACATTCCTACCTTTACTGATTATTGTCAGAAGATGAGTAAAAGTTTAAACACTTGAATTTGAAGTGCAAATGTAATATAGATTACTTTATCATTTTGAGAATCTTAAAAACTGCATAATTTTCCTTTTTTGTTTGTGGAGATCCAGGCTAATCATTTTTCTAAAAAACAGTGATCATTACAAGCAGTGAGAAACCAAAGGTCATTCCTTTTGTGAGAATGTTCTGTTTAGGTGTCTGTCACTCTTAACACCAGTTAATTTGATCTGTCTGTGTTTGATACACTATCATGAAGCAATTAATAAATAATTGTATGTCTGATGAGTAAATCTTGGTTGTCACTCCTTGCGTCAACTGAGAACTTTAACTTGGTCAAAGACTTATATTAAATATGCCTCTTACGAACTTGTCATTATGATTGGTTGCTTCATCTCCCTCAGAGTAACAGGTACATTACATTACTCCACCCTGAGAGAGATGCATCCCAATGAAATCAATAGTATGTACTTTGGCCTACTGTGAGAAAAGATCTAATAGAAACACATGTGAGATACAATGGGTTAATTATTGATTAATACTGTCTGAAATCGAATGGGCCGTTCATCTCAAAGCACACTTTTGTTGTTTAAAAAGGTTTCTATGACTTCGCTATACTAGAGTGAATGGTGATACATTTGAACCTTTAAAAAAAATACAAATGTTCACATCTGGAGGAAAGTATTAATGAATCATAAAGCCGACTTTGTCATACTGTGGTGTAATTTATTCAAATCTGGACCTCATTTTCACTGACAAAAAAAGAACCATTTAGCCAAGACACAGACAACAGCAAGCAGAACAGTTCGGTGCTTGCCAGATCTAAACATATTGATGAAATAAAAACAAACATACATAAATTGCATTGAAATCAACAAAAATATACATAATTGGCACAGCATTCTAAAACAGGCCACATGGAATCATAGCTAAAAGTAGGATACAGTACAATAACAGAATTACTAGCCATTCATCAGGCAGTTTCATCAGAGAATAAATATAATCTGGACGCAGTATTTAATACATTATTGAGAGATGTCAACAGAAAGATCCACTGGCATCTTTCAACACCACGTGAACATGTAAAGTGGTACATGAGCAGGCCTGCAGCTACTGTAGTTGCAATGTATTTTTCTGTGTTTAAGCTGTTTTTTGTCTCACAAACTAACATGTTTTTGTTGCCAGAGACAACTCATTTGAGTCAACATCCTTCAGTTTTCAGTGTCTAAAAGACAACACCCAATAAGAAGCGCTCAACATCCTAACTTTAGGGCCATGATCGTTTTAAAAACTAGGTGAATACCATCCTTTAATATCATACATGATACAGTTAGGTCTTATAAAATATAGACCACATGTTTGATCATTTGGTCTATACAGTACAGCATCAGTGCAAAAGTTGAAAAAAGACTCATAATACATATCCCTAAAATAATTCACTTATCAAACTCATCACAAATCACATTTTGGAATGGTCCTCTACCTAAGCAGTCAACAACAATGCAACAAAACATTAGAAGTACTAAATCAGCATGCAAGAAATCCTAGATTACTCTGGCTATATGGGCTACCGGGGGGAGTTACTGCAATGATGGAACTGGTTGCTTGAGGTGAGATTTTCAATAATTTGATACACACTTTTTTGTTGCATTTTGTGGACTTAATTTCAAGACAGGATGATAGGCAATAGGTCTAATACATTGGTAATTATCTGAATGTGCTGAGACATAGCCACAGCGCTAGGTGTCTGTATGACATGTCCTTTGTTAGTCAATCTTCCTTAAACAACTGAAAAGCGAAAAAAAAGTCCCAAAATGTGCACAGTATTAGGGTCACTTTTGTATAAAACATGCATTTACAAAGTGCAGATTCTAAGAATTGAAATATCAAAAAGCTCTGCCAAGGGTAGATGAAAAGATGAAGATATACAGAATAAAACAAAGAGAAGCATAGCATCCCAGTCTTTTTAGGACGGCACATGATGAGAAATACTTAAAAATATATTGGCAGAAGTAAGAAAGACATAAAAGCCTAACGAGCTAGCTACAGTACTAAACACCTGTGTAGAGAGCAGTTTTAGTACAATGATATACTGTAAGCATCAGTCAGCTGGTTGTAAATCTTTCATTAAGTTACCAGTAAGATCATTCATTACATACTAACGTGAAACAATTTAAATAATGTACAGCTTCATAGTCAAATTGAGTTGTATAATACATGTTTGTATTTTTGCCACAGGATCAAAAGGCACTACACCTAATGTATTTTGTAACCAGGTTGAGAATTTCACACAATTTACACAAAAATAAATCCTCATTCAAAAAGACATTTGACTCAAAAGTAGATTTTTTTTTTCTCCAAATTATTTTGTCTTGATAATTTGATTCAAACTTTAATCTTACCAATGTTTCCCCACATTTGAAACAGACTATTTACCACTAGCTGCACTTAAAATCCCTGCCACAAGTCCATGATAGTATCAAAAAGGTGGGTTTGGTCTTGACATCATACATGAACCAATCTCTGCAATTTCAACATTAAGCAAGAACACAGACTGCACACCAGATTTCTCAATATGTTTTGTAACTTACTGAAACAGATTTTAAATCATATCTGAAAAAGCATTGACTCAAATGGACCAAGACGTGATTTTAAAACACTTGATATCTCTTTTCCAATTCTATATGCGTTGGTTGAGTCCCTGAGATATTGCTGCCTGTCTGCATTTTCTGCTGGTCTGATGGTGACAGTGCTTTTCCATTTCACAAGCTTGAAACGCACACACATACAAACACATACACAAATGCATTTGCACACACATTCAAGTAGGTCACCCAGATGTGTTTGCTCATGCTCCTTTTCACATTTACAAACACACAATGAAAAAGAGGTCCTGACGTCAAACTATTGCCACTATGGGACGGTGACTTCCAACTAGATCTACATGTTTTTATCGGATGGAGAATGAAATAAATCTTACTATAAACCAACTATCTAAAGTCTTGAGATTTTTAACGTTTTAGAAATACAATGTTTGTATCGGTCCCTCGCATCATACCGCCAAACCCTTCGCTACTTCAATAGTTTTAAAAAGGGGGAAATGCTTGTGGACACCTGTGTAAGAATCTTAAACCCCAGGTTATTCACAAGGATAGAAACAAACAAATATACATAAGATGATTCCTGATCTAGGAAAAGCATTGACAACGCTTATCCAAATACCAAAAATCCAAACCCAATAGTGGGCGTTTCTTAAAGTAGCTGAGGTGTATTAGACCAGCATATAGAAAACATTTTATATTGTCATATATCTTCCTCTTGAATTAAGCAAAAACCTTTCAATCATTGAGACAATCATAAAAGCAAAAATAGTTGTTTGGTTGATTTGCGTAAGCTCCAAGTCAACTGTCCAAACCTCTGAGGATTTGAAGGTATTCTGTGACTAAAATCAACTAAAGCAGATAAAATACTGTTTTCAAATCTAGTTTAGTCCCCCATCTTACAATAGAGTTATAAATACCCAGTAGTTGCGTAGCTGCAGATGTGTACAGGAAACACACGGACATCAACTGCAGCAGCTTGTAAAATATCCCCTCCCTCCCTGCTCGCTGCTACCTACTGATCCGCGGTGCGTTCCAGGCCGTCTATGACGCGGCTCAGCCTGATGTTCAGCAGCCTGATCTGAGTGTCCAGGTGGTCGATTTTCTCTTCCAGTGAACCTGCCCCTCCTCCCCGGCGCCAGTACGCTCCCACAGGCCCTGTCATGAAGTACATAGCCATGATGAAGCAAAGAGGCAGCACCGCACGCTCAGGGTCACCCTCAAACTTCTGCAGGATGTACAGGGAGGACAGGGCGAAGAGCAAGACACGTGCCAACCAGAAGAAGCGGCCGAACACACCGTGCAGAAGGTAAAAGAAAACCCCCAGGAACATTGTGAGGAACCAGTAGGCCACAAGAACAGCTGCCACCAGGAGCAGGGCGCGGGCCGGAGTGTTGGTGAGGGATGTGAGGCTGAAGTAGTGGCTCAGGTTAGAGGCTAAATAGGGGAGAAAGAGAAGTATGTTACAAAAATGTACCTCACTCTGCACCCATCTTTCTATGTTAGAAATGTAATAATACATTTAAAACTTACAGTCAATGCCCATCACATCCAGCAAATCTGACCAGATCTTCCAGATGGTGTCAAGAAAAGAGTCCACTCCATGGACAAACCTCTCCGTGGTTTTTGAGAAAAACTACAGATACAAGAGAAATGCAGAAAAAAGGGTAAGACTGTTGGAATGTAGCATTGCATTCTTAGTTTAAGACCCACTGTTTATACAGAGAAGTAAAAACGTTGAAATGGAAAAGTCCTACAGTTCTGCAAAAGAAAAGGAGGGTTGTAAAAATATACAACAAGAGAACTGCAGGGTAATAATACTTCATTAATGTAACATTGCAGTAGCACGTCACACAACATTTCTTAGCATTGACGACACATGGCTAACTTTACATTTAAATTAAAGTATTTTTAACACAACACATGTAGAACATCACGCCATTTAGCATCAGTATCTGACTATAAATTGCTTTTGTGGCTATATATAAAAAAACTGATTACCAATCATCAGTTAAAACATCATAAGTCTGGTGTATTGTATGCAAATGATCCCCACTGTTTCTAATGTAATCAGTCCTTCTTAGTTTGCATGCTGCTACCTGTAAAGCAGACAAACTGAGAAACATGGCTTTCATTGAAATGTACAAGTTCATATGGTCACATGATCTAAATGTGGACTTATGCTCAATATGATTTGAACAGTGAATAACTAAGTATTTAGTCTCACTTATGTCACTTTTGGTTTGGCACCTACATGCGGGAAATAACCATGGATGTATAAAGAAATAACACTATATTTCAAAATACAGGAAGTGCAGCTAAGCCAATGAGAGCACAGAAGCTAATCTGTTTCCTTAGCAAGAGCTGCTATGGTATAGTTTGAACTTGAAGATGAAGTCGATATAAAGAAACAGCTATGACCTGAACCAACGGGGCTACTACATGCCATCTGTTTGGTGACATTATGCACTTGCAGATGGGCTCAGAACAATGAATGAGAATATTGGTAAAACAACAAACTATAGTATTGAACTGTAGCTGCATTTAAACACAACTAAAGCCCGTTGTACAGGGCAGCACTACATCAAGTGACACCTTCCATAGATGGATAAAACATGGAATAATGGCACATTTTTCAAAATGGCATCCGTGCAATAGTAGTTCAGGCCCGGGCGCGCTTGTTTCCTGTTCGCCAGACCACAAAACCCGCCTGTCTGCTAGCTTCTTCAAGACACAATTGGGCCTTTTCCAGACCATGACTCTCCCACACTGACCTTGTATAACCCTCTGATGTTGTCTTCTCCGAAAACACTGCTGAGGGTCTGGTAGATGACGTTCGCTGCCCGTCGGAAGCTGTTCTGGTTGCTGGTCCTGCTCCTGGCCGCTTCGGCTGTGCACAGCAGAGACACGGAAACCACCAAGATAAGCGCGAAAACCCGGATTCCCTTCATGCTGCCGAACCCCCGAGATGTCAAGCAGAAATATGTATCAAAAAGGTTAAAATAAACGCAAGGTGAGAATGGGTGTAACTGCCTAAACACCTTGGTGGGGGATGATGAGCCACTGACTGTGATGGTGGTTACAACCCGTGTTGCGTTCAATGGTGCCTCGTTTATTCCTCCTCCAGCCTGCGTTCATGGGCTTTTCACGTGAGATATTGAATTGGTTACTTACAAAATACATGGTGTGTATGTATACAAATAGGACAGCGGTGTTAACGATGCATGCGAATCAACACTGTTTAGAGTGACTTACACACATTTAGGTGTCAAGTTTCCTTGATTTCAATTGTTCCGATTAACATTAAAGGCATCGTTCTACTCAAGCCATTTTGAGACACAATAGATTAATGTGCAGCGTGTTGCTGCCCTCCAGCGGTGGATGAGTCTAACGCATTGTTTCCTCCACACCAAGGCTTTCTTTTACGTCATTTCAACTCCATCCTGCTTGGGCGTTTTTGTATTTTTCAGCCTCCTTATATCTTTGTCTACAGCTAAACAATTACAATACTTACCAACAGTTTAATTAACTAGGCTATGAGTCTTAATTGTCAATTTTCGATAGTTAAAGGATGAGTTAAAAACGAAAACATTCTCTGCTCTCTACAAAAATACCATATTTTGTCAGATTGTAGGCCTAAGCAAGGCTGTCCACTTTCAATATCAATATATGAATAGTTCCAAAGGAAAGAAAGTATTCATGGTACAGCCCATGATATAATTTAAAAATGAACTAATTGAATACAGAACACATTTTACATGCCTTGTTGTTCAGCGTGTTGTATTGGGACAAGTAACATTGCATTGCTTGGTTTAACTTGGTGTGCACTTAGATCTTTAGGGACAGATATGGTCAATATTTTATTCTGTTGCAGTTTTCTTACAGACTTGGTATTGATGTGAGTGAAGACTTATAGTAAGTTAGAAGATAATATGTTTTCAGGAAAATCTGATATCACTTTCAGCATATAAATGCCTGATTAATCGTGATACCAATCATTGTAATGTTTTGCACATGTGAGATGTTTTTTTTTTTTTACAGTTACTCCAATCATTTTATTTATGGAATATTTGTCTCTAATGTTGATGATATGATTATTATTGTTTCAACTAACTGTCCCTCTATATAGAGTCTATATTAACAACATTTGACAAATCATAGGCCAGTATGCAGAGTGATCCTCCAGCTCATGAGACGTGACAGGAAATTGAATTTAAGATGCAGTTCACTGCTGTTCCAGAGATGGACTCGTTACTTGGAAAGCTTTCCCCTGAGTTCTCATTATCCATATCATAACTACATTGCAAGGCAGTAATGGTAGGATGAAGTAGGTCAAGGCTGCAAATAATGAAAACAGGAGTGGGGACAAGCGTTACAGAAGTGCAGCAACCCTTTGTTTTTGCAAGCAAGCAGTGTTGCTTGTATTACATTAATATTTTGTTTAAACATTTCATTAACAGTGGAGTCAGTATGCACAAATGATGAGTGAATACACACATACGAGAATCATGGTTATGGACCATTCAAAATAAAGTACATTTTTCAACGGTCTTATGTGGCACCTTCCCAGAGCTAACCATTAAAATATTTATGGAGCTAATGTAAAATAGCCTGTAAAGCATCGCTGTTGGTAAAATTCTTGGTTTATTTATGGATAACATGCGAGCATAACCAATAATATTAATAAAGGCAATACCATTTATTATAGTTAAATGTTCAGGGGTTATACCGGCATTATAACAATAACATCAAGGTGATACTGCAAATAAGTTTTGGGAATGTTGGTTTATTGGTTCGATTTAAAAATACAACCTGCTTCTTATTTTTTTGTTCTTCTGAATAAAATAAAGCCCAAAATACACATTATTAAAATAAATGTAATGTTAGCTGGCTAAACTATAGCTGTACATAAAATTGAAATTCTGCTGTGCACTGCCAGTAATCCATTAATGAGTGTCTGTGGTTAGTTCTTCTTCTTCGAGTCCGTAGCAATCTCAGATGTCGTTCTGCCAGTATCGGGCACAGGCCACAGCTGATGGGATAGGTTCTGCCAGGTCTTCTGGACTGCACCGGGGGGCATCGGCACATTCCAGTAGGTGGGACATTGTCTGCACTGATCCACAGCTGCACGTGTCTTCTGTGGTGTAGTTCCACACTTTCATCAGTGCTTTGCACCTCCCCTGTTCCACACGCAGTCTATTAAGTGACTTCCAGGTTGTCCAGCCAAGGTCGTGGCCACTCGCAAGGCTTTCCGTTGGTGTGATTCCTCTGTCCAGCCATTCAAGAGCTTGTGTGTCATGTCTTTGCCATTCATCTTCCCAGATGTTGGTCCTTGCTGCTTGTTTGGTTGTCTGGAGGGGCAGGACTGTCTGCACAAAACTGGCTCTGGATCGGAGCCTGCGTGGGGGTGCTACGTGGCCATGCAAGGGGTGTCTGATGTCTGTCTCCTGTGTTCTCCGTTCATCTTGAGCGATACCCAGTCGTCTGATGTGTCGGGGAGAGATGCCGGCTAGCGCATAGAGGCACGGGACAGGTGTTGTCTTAACGCATCCCGTGATGATGCGGCAGGTGTCATTCAAGGCTGTGTCGACCAGTTTGGTGTGACGTGATCGGCTCCAGCTTGAGCAGGCATACTCTGCTGTAGAGAAACACAGGGCCATGGCAGTTGCACGGATTGTTGGTGGATCTGCGCCCCACTTGGAGTTCACTAGTTTGCGCAGGATGTTGTTGCGGGTGTTGATCTTGGCTTTGGTGTTCTCCAGGTGTTTCTTGAAGGAGAGTGTCCTATCCAGTGTAACACCAAGATACATGCGATGCGTATGGTTGGACAGTTTGTGGCCATCCCAGGTGACGCTCAGTTCTTTTTTAGCGTCTCGGTTCCTCAGGTGGAAGCTGCATAGTTGGGTTTTTGATGGGTTGGGTTTCAGGTGGTTGTTATTGTAGTAGCTTGACATTTCTTGGAGGGCACTTTCAAGGACAGGCTCAATCTTCTGGAGGTCTACTTGTTGGGTGGTGATGCAGAGGTCGTCTGCGTAGATGAAACGCTGGCATTCTGGGGGGTAATGGCTGGTCGTTTGTGTATATGTTGAACAGGAGGGGGGCCAGTACGCTACCTTGTGGGAGGCTGTTCTTTTGGGCTTTCCACTTGCTCCTCTGGTCATTCAACTGGACGTAGAAATGCCTGTTGTTGAGGAGGCTTTTGATGACTTGACACAGATTCAGGTCACCAGTCATGTCCAGTAGTTTCCTGACCATTGTACGGTGTTGGACAGTGTCATAGGCAGCAGAAAGATCTATGAATGCTGCTCCAGTTATTTGTTTTCCTTCAAACCCATCCTCAATGTGTTGGGTGAGGTTGAGTAGCTGTCCAGCACAGGAGCGGCCAGGACGGAAACCAGCTTGGTCTTTAGTCAGCTTGGTGTCTATGAGTGGCATGAGGCGTTGGAGTAGCAGCCTCTCATAGAGTTTGTAAGTGATGCAGAGGAGGGAAATGGGTCGGTAGCTCTTTGGGGATGATGGGTCTTTGCCGGGTTTGGGGATTGCAACCACTTTGGCCTTTCTCCAGACAGGAGGGATGGTTTTTTGTGCCATACATGTGTTCAGCATCTCCAGGAGCCAGGTCTTTGCGTTAGGTCCCAGGTGCTGTATCATTTCTGCCAGTATGTCATCAATCCCTGCTGCTTTTCCGGGTTTCAGCTTACCCATTGCAGTTTCGAGTTCTTCTATGTCGAAGGGTTTGGTGAGAGGGCTGGCTGGTTGTGGTTGGTCTGATACCACTGTGCGATGGTGTTCTCCTGCGGGTTGGCGGCGGTGTTGGTTACGGCCGTTGGCCACCAGCTGTGATGCAACCGAGTTTGCTGTGACCGTTGTGATTATGGGTGGTGTGGTGTGGTCTTCGCCAAGACGGCGGATTGTAGCCCATGCCTTCCTGCTGTTATTTGTCATATTGGTGTTCTCTATCATTTCCTTCCAGACTTTCCTTCGTTCTTCTGTGGTTAGTTAAAAAGTCAGCAATAATAACCAATACAAAACAAATACAAACGTATAATACAATGTCTAATCTTATATAGTGAGTGCACCAATCAACAAGTTGCACATGTCTTTATTCCAGATGGCTTTGCTCCATTCCTGACCTTGACCAAGAGAAAGCCAATATTCAGTAGGTCCAGTGAGAGGACACCAGGACCAGGAGAGTATGCCTTTTCACCTGTTAGGGCAGTGGTTCCCAACATGGGGGGCGCGCCCCCCCTGGGGGGTGCAGAGGCATGACAGGGGAGGGCGAGAGACCAGGAGGAAAAATGGTTATTAAAAAAAAAAGATAAAAAAAAAATAAAATCATAATTTGAAAAATTATTGATTCGAAAATAATATGATACAGTACAGTACTATTACGTCTGGGTCTCTGTGTTTCATTAAAGCTCGGCTCTGTGTGTGTGTGGAACGAGCCATTTTGTGTGTGTGTGCGCGAGCGAGAGAGAGAGAGCGCACCGGTACCGGAGATCGTTGTTGTTAGCTTCTGGTGCTTTAAGGAGTTTTTTCAACAACAAAGTGGAGGAGAGTCCTCTCCTGTCAGACTGAGAGACTCAGTGAACTAAAGGACCCTCTCAGTGTTATCTCAGTGGGTCTCAAACGTTTTGGTCACCATTAATGTAAACAATTATTTCCGAGGCACACGTTTATATGATCATTATAGTTATAAAGAAATAAGAGAATAAATGAAAAACAGGTATGAAATACTATATGACAGTAAAAAAAGAATAAAGTTTAAAAGGGTGATTTGTAAAATATCCATAAAGAAAAAGTAAATCTGTTTACAGTTCTGTTTCATATGGGTGTTGAGCAGCGACGTGCAGTCAGTGGAGGCAGGGGAGGCAGAGCCTCACCTGTCATACTCCAATGTAACGGAAAAACAACTAAAGAAAAACTAAATAGTAATAATAATAAAATGTTTCCACTGATCTGTGTTGTAAGTGTGATTTCTGTTTGATTCTAATCGCTTTTTATAGTCAAAATCAGCAAATTTGCCGAGCTCCGCTACGGGAGCGATGACAAGTGAGGCAGGGGCGTGCTCTGCCTCTCGTAAGCCCACAGTAACTTGCTG